GGATGGAGAGAGTATTTACGCACACGAAATTAATTCACACAAGTCAAACCGGGTGGAGGGGAATCGATCCAAAAAATAAAGGAGAGAAAATTCAGATTTTTAAATAGTAAAATATGAAATGACGTCACCGTGAGAACAAAACAAAACTGTGATCTACAACTAATCAATAAACCGTTACGTTATCGCGTTATTTTACATGAAAATAAAAGTATATTATTAAAATAATTAAACGTAAATTTAATAATTTAATCAGTCGTAAAGGTAAATAAATATTAAACCATTTAAACGTGTTTGTTTTAGACACAAATGTTCAGATGATTTTTTTTAAAAACAATTTTTAGAACCTAATGTTTGAACGATTCATATAAATAAATACTGTATATAATTCAATATATTTGACTTTGTATTTCGTGTATTTCCAGTTACTGTAGGAGCAAAAAAATAACTAGGTTTTAACGTAGAGTCACTGGAGGATAATTTAGTCAAACACTGTGTGTGTTATTTTAAATCAACTTCCAACAACAGTGAGTCTGGAAAAAATAATATATATATATAAATGACGTCAGAGAAAAACATGGAAAAATAACCGGGCGTAAAGTCGCGTTTCAGAAGAAGAAGCAGAAAAATTCAATAAATGAAGAATCATTAGTGAGTGTTATTTAGCTGCTGCTGCTCCACGGTGCAAGTGTAGCAGGGCTGACTATAGCTATCAGTGAATGGACTCTTTATTGGAGGCGCGGAGCGGGGATTTGCCTTTTATTCGCCTCGCTATGGAAACGCGCTCGACGGCAAAAAAATGCCGATGTGAATAAAAGGCATGAGGAGAAGGAGCGTTTCTGGAGGAGCATCTGTTACACTGAGAAACTTAGACCATCGACAGCACCACAGACCCCCCCCACTCCACCCTCCACACACCCCCACTCCTCCAAAACGCTCCTCACAAAACAAAACAAAAAAACTGACACTTTGTTTTTGTCTGATATCTCTGCTACAGTCCTGGGTTTTTCCTACTGTCACGGTTCCAGGTTGGAGGACGCGTCACTGAGGTACCACAAATATTCTGTACTTTTAGGAGCGAGTACTTCCACAATAATGATCTACAAAAATCACTACATGAACAACAGGGTATAAAAATCCAAACACAGACAGAAATATATATTTTTTTCCTTCTTCTTTGTCCGAGGCTTCAGGCGACGACGCTTCAGAGAAGGAGAAAAAAAACATTTTCTCCTCGTCCTCCTCCCCCCCTCCAGCCTCCACAGCCTCCACAGCCCAGCTGAGTCCACTCTGCAGCGGCCCTGTCCTCACATCCAGCCCGCGGTCTCCTCACCTGCCCCGGCCTCCTCTCTGTCCTCCTCTGTGTCCTCCTCTGTGTCCTCCTCTCCTCTCCTCCTCGGCTCCAGCCTCTGTAACCACTCGGTGGAGGCTGCAGCTTCTTTTATTTCTCCTAAATGTATGAAAATGTATGCAAATTTAAATCAAGCTTAACCTGGGAGCCAGAGCAATATATTTAATGGAATCTCGAACCAATAAGAGACCGGGGCGCAGTCTTCTAATGGCAAATATAATTACCCACTGAGTTTGCCCCTCAGATGAGATGAGATAGATTTTTTTTTTATCCCCAACTCTGAGGAGATGATGAGATTCTTAAACACCGTCAGTCTGTGACGCTGTGATTCAGTTTGGCCTCAAAGAAAATGTCAAATAAATAAGAAATGAAAAATAAATTCTCTTTCCACGGTGAAGAAGTGAGAACGGAAGAAGCCGAGTTTGAAGCCTGGCTGTGATGGTGTCACCAGTTTATTATGATCTGACCGAAATGAGGTTTGCGTAATGGCCCGTGCGTAAAAACCTCTTTTGCGCACACACTCCACCTGGAGACACGTCATCCCGCGAACACTTGGGGAAGAATTGGCTTAAAGTTAATCAGTGGCAGTGAGAACTGCTCCTGCTCTGATTGTATTCTTCTAAATTAAGTGCCGACACGTCCAACAAACGCCGCTGCGCTCTAATCTCCCATCGCGCGCTGAAGGGAAACAGGAGCGGCAATAAACCGCCGCGTAAATCAGTCGGAAACTTTAATTAATAAACAGGAACTGCGCTGCACACACACACAGACACACACATACACAGACCCACTGGACCAGCACCTCTACTAACTTCCGGTTCTACTGACTGTAACTCTTTCCTCCCCGCAGGCGGAGGTTCGAGCGCCTGCGCTGTCATTGGTGGGGAGGCGTCGTCACCGCGTCTCCGCCGCGCCGTGAGTGGCGGTGTAGGCTGTCAGTCAGAGCTCGGCTGCGGCCGACACTTCAGACGGTGGGAGATGTCAGAGCCGGAGCTGCTCCATCTCCTCATGGGGTCCACCAGCCAGCATGGCCACAGCTGCCTCCAGCCCCTACACCCTGCTCAGCTCCAGCCCCATGATCCACCCGGACAGCCAGGCCATGCAGCCTGCTAGCCCCTACAGAGGCCACCAGAAGCTCCTCCAGAGTGACTACCTGCAGAGCGTACAGAGCAACGGGCACCCCCTCGGGCACCAGTGGGCCAGCAGCCTGTCCGATGGCAGCCCCTGGTCGGCCTCCATGGAGCAGCAGGACGTCAAACCAAACCGGGAGGACCTGCAGCTCGGCATCATCCACCACCGCTCCCCGCACGTAGCGCATCACTCCCCGCATCACAACAACCATGGCAACCACCCGGGAGCCTGGGGAACCCCGGTGTCCCACAACTCCTCCATCAGCAGCGGGCAGCAGATCAACATCTACTCCCAGACGGGCTTCACTGTCAACGGCATGCTGGAGCACGGCGGCCTCACGCCTCCCTCTAACCCGCAGGGCCAAGGCATGCACCCGGGCCTCAGGGACACGCTCAGCCCCGAGCACAGCGACCTCGGCGGACACCACTGCCACGACCACTCCGATGAGGAGACGCCGACCTCGGACGAGCTGGAGCACTTTGCCAAGCAGTTCAAGCAGCGGAGGATCAAACTGGGGTTCACCCAGGCCGACGTGGGTCTGGCTCTGGGCACTCTCTACGGAAACGTCTTTTCCCAGACCACCATCTGCAGGTTCGAGGCTCTGCAGCTCAGCTTTAAAAACATGTGCAAACTAAAGCCGCTGCTGAACAAGTGGTTGGAGGAGGCGGACTCGTCCACCGGCAGCTCCAGCAGCATAGACAAGATCGCAGCTCAGGGGAGGAAGAGGAAAAAGAGGACGTCGATCGAGGTCAGCGTCAAAGGAGTCCTGGAGACGCACTTTCTCAAGTGTCCCAAACCCTCGGCGCAGGAGATTACCGCGCTGGCGGACTCGCTGCAGCTGGAGAAGGAGGTGGTGCGGGTCTGGTTCTGCAACCGGAGGCAGAAGGAGAAGCGCATGACTCCGCCGGGGGAGCCGCCGCCCCCCCCCCCGGGTGGAGAGACCGCCCACGAGGTGGGGGGGGGGGCAGGAGGAGACGCTGCCTCCTGTCACGATCTCTGACCGGAGGACCGGGAGGAATCCCGCGGCACACAGACTCCAGAGCGCAGGGCACGGGGCAGAGAGGCGGGGGGCGCCCCGCCGTCCGTGCCCCGGTACAGACTCGCCCCTGCAGATGCCTCCGCTCCGGCACTGGACGCATCACAACAAGAGAGAGAATGAGAGAGAAAACCTGTTCAGCCTTTGTCATTTTTAACAGTCGTGAGGGCATTATTCCACCAACCAACACCAAACTCCACGTCACTCTTTTATTTAGGCTTTGGTTTTTATTTTAATTTTTTTAATTTAATATTTTTTTTGGAGCCATTCAGATGATTTTTCTCTATCACGGATACAAATACAAAAATGTGCCTCTAATAACCTGCCAGCGCCTTTGGTTGGTGTCACGGTTCTCCAGCAGCTCGATAATACCGACGGTGTGGGACTGATGTGTCGATTCCTTTTGGCCTCTCGCATATGATCAATGGAGTGAAACTGATAATAATATCACTTTTCCTAATTGATTTGCTGCGGCACCGGAGGTTGATCCACAGCCAGGCTTCACTTCCTGTTTATTTACACTCATTATTTTGTAACATACTCGTAGCAGCTGTGTAATTATTCTTATTTTTTATTTTTTTGTTATTTTTTTTCCATATGCAATTATAGGCCTTGATAGGAGCCGTAGAGCTACAGAACACACCACAGCACTTGGAGGACCTCTCAGTCCGAACCCCCGACCTCTGACCCCACTCCCCCTCTCCCTTCCTCCCCCCCAGGCCTTTTATTTATAAATCCATTTATTAGATTTCAATCATCCTCGACCATAAAAACTGTGTGCAGAGTAGATAGAAGGGCGGTCTGACGCTACACACCTGCCTATAATGAATTCATTTTACTGTACCTTCAGTATCAAAGTTTTATACCCTGAAGTACTCCTCCTCTCTGGTTTATTTCCTAAGTATTTTTTTGGAATATTGTACAGTTTTATATATTCCCCTTTGGAGTCAATAATTTACACAAATGCTCTTAGTTATTCATGCACTTAATTAGCAATGTACAAAAAAACAAACAAACAAAACAAACGATATTTTCATTAAGATTGAACTGTATCGGCGGTTTTATTCCAAATTTCGATGACAGCTCGAGTGATTATTTATTTTCAGTATAAAGCTTGTATTATGTTTTGAAATAAACTATGTATGTTGTAATAAAACAATTTGTTGCTACAACTGTTCACTGTCCAAAGCAGAATACATTATTATTATTATTATTAATTATTATTATTACTGCTGTGTTCTACTTTTTATTTTTTTGTTTTTAAATTCTATTTTTTTTTTTTTTTTTTTACCAAAATATTTCCGTTTTGAAAGTTAACAGATTCTTAGATTATTTTCCTCAATTTCCGGAATTTGTTTAGGAAATTGAAATTGATATTTAAATTAAAAATAAATTTAGCCTCAATTACATTTCATGTCACGAACGTAAACAGACGATTCGTTTCGCTGTGTTTTAACGGAGAGAGAAAAAAAAACCCAAATAATTAATTCATGTTTTTATTTTCTGACGCAGCGTCACGTCCAAAGGTAATATTTTTCTTTCCTTCCGTGTTTCTAACCAGACGTGTCTGTCGTGTGGTTAAACAACGAGCCCTGAGCTGCAGCTCCACGGACTGAGACGCTTTCTCCTGCAGCTCCACTAAAATGTTATTGTCCGGGGCCTTTGCCCTCCTCAATCAGACATGCGTGATTTATCGCCTGGGCTGCAGGGCCTGACAGCAGAACACAATGACAAGAGCAAACACACACACACGCACACACACACGCACACACACAGAGTCAGAAGCAGATGAATGTCATTTGAAATCCTGCAGCTGTGTTGAAAAAAACAAAACAAAACAAACTAAACAGGGTTAAAAAAAGATGAAGTCACAACAAAATGTAGTCTCTGATGGAAATGAACTGTTGTTTAAATGATGCAAAAAATAGAAGAGAGGAAAGAGGGGAGAAGAGGGGAGAGGAGAGGAGAGGAGAGAGGAGGCGGAAGGGTGTTAGGCCTTGCCTTGAAATGGAGAGCCTGACTGGAATACTAATGCATCAGAATTTATGCATGTACTCAGTCTGCAGCCCTGAGAGGGGGGTGGGTAAGACAGAAAAAGAGAGAGAGAGGGGCGGGGGGTGAGGGTGGAGGTGAAAGGGGCTGGTTATGTAGAAGAGGAGAGGAGGAGGAAGAGGAGAGAGGAGGAGGAGGAGGGGGTTATGTCTGATTGATTCCATCCATCTATTTTAGGTTGAAATAATCCCTGATTTCTAGGGGAGGTTGCAGGGGGGAGGAAGGGGAGGAGGGGGGAGGTGACCCTTGATGGAGGAAGAGCAGCCAGCAGCCGAACAAACAAGCTCAGCGAGGCTGCCACCTCCTCCACCCAACACTGCCCCGTGTGGAGCTCCAGCTCAGTCACTACACCGGCCCTGACACGAAGTATTTAAAGAAGTACTTCAGGTTCAGATACTGCTCTGAAATACTCCATGACATGGCTTTGAACATCAGCTGAGAGTAAATGTGAGCTCATCATCAGCCAGGACAGTAACAGAGGAGGAGGAGGAGGAGGAGGAGTTGCCCATCCCCAGCAGAGCGGCTGACTCACTGACTCCTTCTAACAGTTTCTAATGTTTGAACTTTCTCTTCTCTCTTCATCTCGTCCACCGTGGACCATCACAGTAAAAACAAAAACATTTTAAATTGTTCTGAGGTTCAGAGAGGGAGAGAAACTAAAGTTCCCGGTGGAGGAGGTTAAAGAGGACATCGCTTCACTCTGTCTAATAACATAGAAGGTAAACACAGGCCTGTGGTCCAGAGTCTGTACACAGAAACACAGCAGCGGTCCAGCAGACATGACAATAATAATCTGCTGCTCCGACTCCTCTGGTCCAGAGTCTCACTTCACTCTCAACAAACTCAGTTTTTTAGTATTTTATTTTTCTTCAGTCTCTTGACTTTAGCTGTGGTTTAAATGATTTTTTATGGAAAAAAAAAAACCCATCCCTGGGATGAAGGGGGTGTAGTTTTTACTACATGCTCAGCACGCCACAGCCATGACGGGATTCAAACCTGTGACCCTCCAGTAAAAGCCCAATCGTCTTACCGCGATGCCATAGGCCCAAACTTCAAACTACAAATACTGAAACTACACACAGTTACTAATTCAACTTTACTCATTTATGGTAGTTTTAAAACCAACAATATAAATATATTAATATATTACAATTTTTTGGGTCAAAAACAGCATATTTGTCCTACAAAGAACATTTATTTTATACAAATGGACAGAGCACCTTCTTGTGTCTAAGAAATTCATATTTACTGTAAACAAGTAAAAGTATAGAGATGAGTGCAGCACGAATTTAATTTTGTAAAAAAATTCAGTTATTTTTCAAACTTAAAATTCTGCTGCTTTAATCAAAGTTTGATAAAAAAAAATATATAAAAATTTAGTTATCAAATATTTTATTTTTTTCTATTTACTCCCATCCTATTTTTAAAAAACAAAACAAACTTCAAACCATTGTTAGCCTTACCTTTACTTACAGATGAAGTCCATGGTTGTATCTCACACCTTAGCATTGTGGATGCTAACGTTTCCGGTCACAGTATCCAGAGTTAGTCCAGACGTTATCACACGAGGGCAATAAAAGTCAAGAAAAGAAAGTAATGGCGGTTTCTTACAGGACAGACACACAGCCAGTCTTTTCATTTGTACCGGTACATTTAAAAAGAACGACTCTTCTGCCCCGTAGTTTGAAGCTAACGTTTTAGCTCCGACGTTGGTCTTCCGTCACTTATCTCCTTCCGTTTGGACCGGAAGTCCAGTTTTGAGAAATGTTTCCGTCTGGAAACACAATCCATAGTCAGTCGGTCGGATCAGACAGAGCGTAGAAACCGCTGTTCTTCACCTACTACTGGCTCTGGTTTGTCAGTTCACCTGTCAGTTCACGTACGACCCCTTGAGGCGAGGCGGAGTACTGCATGCCTGCCCGGCTGACTTTTCTCTGCACTTTCTCGTCCGATCAGCAGGGACAAAAATGTATAGAGG